GTCATGAGGCATCTTCTATCGACAATATTGCCACCCACACTAGCTAAGACAGTTACCCCTGCGGGCCTCTTCAGAGTCCCCAAGCCAACGAGAGCACCAGCCAAAGCCAGAGAGACGTCATACTCACCTTCTGCACCCACACAGACAAAGCGGCGGTCCACTCTGCCCTAAGAGGAAAAACCCCATTCCGCTTTGAGTCTATGGAGCTGACCTTCTTCGCAGATCTGTCCACTGGCATGCAGGCGTGGTGCAGGACACTCCAACCACTCACCTCCCTGCTCCAACGCCACAAGCTTGCCTACCGCTAATACGCTAATAGTGCAGCAAAGGTCAGACACGCATAGTGTCCAGGACATTCAGGAGGCCCCAGCCCTGCTGCGGATCCTAGGCATACCGCAGGACACACTGCCCAGCGTTACTTCTCCAACCCACACCTGGGACCCGGCAATGATCATACCTTTCTTCCCCAAGGGCTCCATGCCTGACTGGTGGTTACCATATGGTGCAAGACGCCCTGCTTGACCCAGGGAGACCCTCACCATCCGCCCGGAAGGAGTGAGGGTGCACCACGGGGGCGACGACACCGACAGTCAGTACCTTTCCCAATCCGGTAGTGATCACCAAAACAGTAAACATGGCATGTTACAGTGAACCTGCATATGCTTATTTAGCCCACCACACAACTGTTTCTGGCTATGCCTGCATAGCGTACCAGGATTATTGACCACCAGGAAAAGGGTCAAACTCCCTTGGAAGCCTTCCAAAGCCGCGCTTGATCTCCATTGTATGTACTACAGGAATGTACTGTTCATGGTTCATTGTTCATCATTTAAGTTACCTTGTGGCATACCAGGGGTATTTTCACTGTTAACACACATCTATCTACGCAAACGCCAGGACTGGTACCCACCTACCGAGAGCTCTACAGCCTCCCCCCCACAGAAGTAATCGGATGAGGGTGCAATGAACAAGCAGACGCTGTGGGGCGCAGTGTGGTGAAACCACCGACATAAGACTCACCCACACTCACATAGCGCTGGACTCCTGTATGAACCCTCATTCCCAAGCACTGTTAAGTTGGTTTAATCTGTTTTAATTTTATTATTTTAATGCCAAGTACGACCGAATAACTAGTAAGCTCAGCCTGTAAGGGTTACATATACTTAATGCCTGTTAACAAATGTACCGAGGATCAGGACAATAAGTCTTCCCTCAAGGGAGTATAGGTACCGCATAACCACTAAATTAAGACAACACCATTAACTCCTATAGCTTTACTGGGGAACTTTATACCACGGAAGATATTAGTCCTAGACTAGCTCCACCAGTACTATTAACTCTGACTAATTTACATATAGCTTTTCCCTCCTGCACGATACGCAGTCTAACCCACTTGGACATGGCACTAAGCCTAAAGTAATCAGTTTTTAGTCAAGCTTGTCCTTTCTTCAAAAGAACTTGAATTTTCATCTCAAGAAAATCATGCCCACTGACACGAGAAATCAGTCTGCTGAATCAGCAAGACCTATGCACCCGACTGACTGCAGTTACCAACTCTCTGCTTGGTTCAGAGATAGGCATGGGTCATTTCACCTTAACACACTTACGCCCCTGCTGACACATACTAACACTACCCAGTTTCTGCACCCTCTGCATATATAGCACTGGAACTCAACACAGTAACCTATGTCATGACAGCCTATATAAATGTGCTGCTGAGAGTGTTTGGTCGGTCGGGCAAGCCCAAATGTTTCTCTTAATTAACCGCCTGTTTAACAGTATAGCGAATCTCGCATGCAGTGATGTTTATGTTTATGATCAATGCCTATTGTCTGTCTCGATCACCTGTGAATCGTAACACTTGACTTGCACCCTGCTTTTTAATAACTGTCTAGTCCGTAAACTTAACGTACTTACCTGGACAACTTATTATTGCTTAACCGGGATCCTTATCACTGTCTGGGAAAACGTGCCCAAGTTTGTGGGACTTACCAACCTTGCAACTAATATATTACTACAGATACACTTTTAACAAAAAAGAAACTCTGTAATGTCTTATTTTATATTTACATTCTCATCAGAATGTGAATATATAGCACACATAGCTGAATCCATGAGTTCTTATTAAACACCTCAAGCAGTCAGCCTTGGTGACACTACTCTTAACATGTCTAGCCTGCTCAGACACCCAAGCTTACTGTTTGGTAGACTCTCATGCCTCATATGCGCATACCTAACAGTACTTGTTGTAAGTTCAAATCGAATGTCCTACCATGTTCTTCCAGACAATAATGTTAATGTTCATGTTAAAATTTACCATTTTAGAAATCACTGCCTATCCTGGACCTAGCTTGTTTTTTACTATTTAAAAATGTGCTGTTTCTGCAAAAGTCACACCAATGTTTTTTTTTATGTGTACCACACTAAGACAGCTTATTAAAGGAACACTATAGTCACCTAAATTACTTTAGCTAAATAAAGCAGTTTTAGTGTATAGATCATTCCCCTGCAATTTCACTGCTCAATTCACTGTCATTTAGGAGTTAAATCACTTTGTTTCTGCTTATGCAGCCCTAGCCACATCTCCCCTGGCTATGATTGACAGAGCCTGCATGAAAAAAAAAAACTGGTTTCACTTTCAAACAGATGTAATTTACCGTAAATAATTGTATCTCAATCTCTAAATTGAACTTTAATCCCATACAGGAGGCTTTTGCAAGGTCTAGCAAGGGATAAGAAAATCTTAAATAAAAAGAACTTGCAATAAAGAAAGCCTAAATAGGGCTCTCTTTACAGGAAGTGTTTATGGAAGGCTGTGCAAGTCACATGCAGGGAGGTGTGACTAAGGTTCATAAACAAAGGGATTTAACTCCTAAATGGCAGCGGATTGAGCAGTGAGGCTGCAGGAGCATGTTCTATACACCAAAACTGCTTCATTAAGCTAAAGTTGTTCAGGTGACTACAGTGTCCCTTTAATGTTGTTGTGACATTGTGAGCATACCTGTATTCATGCAAAAGCACAACAAATATAAAGAATTACAAAAAAAAAAATAATATCAGGAAGTATTACTTTACTGAGAAGTTAGTGGATGCATGGAATAGCCTTTCAGCTGAAATGGTAGAGGTTAACATAGTGAAGGAGTTTAAGCATGTGTGGGATAGGCATAAGGCTATCCTAACTATAAGATAAGGCCAGGGACTAATGAAAGTATTTAGAAAATTGGGCAGACTAGATGGGCCGAATGGTTCTTATCTGCCGTCACATTCTATGTTTCTATGCAGGGCCGGTGCAAGGAATTTTGTCTACACAGGCGAAGGAGCATTTTGCCTCCCCCCCCCCACCCCCCCATATAAATTTTTTGGTTTTTTTAGAGAAAAATAAGAACAAATTTGTGGTTTTGTAAAGTGTATTTTATTAACATTTATTCAACAAAAACAAAAATAAATAACAACGCATTCAACTGCATGTAAACTGCAGTAACTATTACTCAAACTGCATGACGTAGTGCAACTAGTATCAAGGTGCTTTAAAACAAACATATATAAATACTATAAAAACTTTTATATAATGAATAAAACTGTACGCTTTAGGTTTCTGCAAGTGCAAATTCACCTAAAGTGTAAAGTGCTTTAACAGATATTGCACACAAACAACGTGAGAATGGTAGCCTACAAAAACTTAACCCTTCTTGCTTTCGCAGTTACAAAATCATGAAGCAGAGTTTTAAAGTCAATCTCTTTTGCAATCTGATTTTCAATGGAAATCATTGCAAGTCCCACCAATCTCTCTTGAGACATAGAGAACCGAAGATAATTCTTTATTAACTTCAGCTTTGAAAAGCTTTGCTCCCCAGAGGCTACAGATATCGGTAATGTCAACAATATGCGAAGGGCAATAGACAGATTGGGAGCAAAGCCATTTTTAAGTGCATACGCTAGAATCTGACTGGGTGTCATTGTAGGCCTCAAGATAGGAGCCAATATTGTAAGTTCCTCACAAAGTTGTGCTCCATCCAGGTCAGCATCTCCTGATTTATCATCAGTCAAAATATTCTGCAAGTCTATACAGTACTCCATAACTGCTTCCCTTGGTACATCTTTAAGTTTTTGTATATTATAAAGAAACTGGAAGTGCTTGCTGTGGTGCTTAATTTGCCCAAATCTCTCATCAAGAGAATTAATACATACATCCAAAATGCTGTAAAAGCACTCAATTTTAAATTTTTTTGCAGGATCACAAATCGGATCATCCGGTGCTTCATAACAAAACATCCTTTTTTTTTTTAGTTTGTCGCACAAAAGGAGGAAACACAGGATCTATTTCCATTTCTAATGACAGGTCTTTTGCCTCTTCCAGTAAATCTTCAAACCCTTTATCAGAACGATAATTCTTCAAATAATTGGTTGTGGATTCCAGAATATCTATAACATCTGGGAGATACATACTTCTACTTTGGAGAAGTTTGCTAACAAAGTTTATTCTATTTAAGATGTTGTACCACAACACAATAAGACACAAAAATTTAAAGTTATTCACTTCTTTTGAAAGAGATTCAGCATCAGACTGTGCCATTGCCATGTGAGAGTTCTCTCTCGAAATTTCAGAGAGAGCATCAAAAATTTCTCCAACCTGGAACCTAAATAGACGAATAGCATCTATTCTTGATGACCATCTGGTGTCAGACAAAGGTTTAAGCGTAAGTCTGCCAATGTGCTTCTTCAAGACATTCCACCGAACTGTGGATCCTGACAAAAACACATAGATTTTCTGTACAATAGAAAAGAAGGTTGCAGCATCCCTGCATGACATGGCTGCATCATTCACAACGAGATTTAAGGTATGAGCGCTGCAGGGAATATAAAAGGCACGCGAGTTTAAATCCAGGATTCTTTTCTGAACACCTTGGTGTTTGCCCTTCAAATTGGATCCATTATCGTATCCTTGTCCTCTCATATCACCAACTGGGATCTTAAGTTTTTCAAGTTCAGACAAAATTGCCTCAGTTAAACCTTCTCCAGTTGAACTTTGGGATTTGGATAAAACCTAGAAATTTTTCATCTATACAGATCTCTGGTTCAGCAGTTGGAGACTCGCCTTCCTTGATGGACACAAATCGAACAATTATAGTCATTTGTTCAATTAAAGTAATGTCTGGTGTGCAATCAAGTATTATAGAATGATACTTTGCATTTTTCAACAACTGCAGAATGTGTTTTGTGATTTCTTTCGCTATAAGGCTGATGAGTTCGTTTTGAATGTCTTTCCCCAAATAATGTTGGAAAATGTCCTTATTTTTTATTCTCTTCAGATGTTCCTGCATAACGGTGTCAAATGTAGCCATGATTTCCACAAGTTGCAGATAATTCCCATTATTGTCACTGTATAATGTATCTCTGCTACCTCGGAAAGCCAAGCACTGGCGACCAAGATATTTTACTATGCCTATAAGGCGCTTAACAACATCTTGCCAATGTTGTGTTTCATTTGCCAACAATCTCTGGGAAGCTGCATCTATCGTTTTTCCACAACCAAATCTTCTCGAGAGTTCATTCCAGTCTCTTATGGCGACAAGATGAGAGTTAGACTTTTCATGAATGGAAAGATTTTGAGATAAGTTTTTCCAGTCATTATAACCTCCACGTGACAAACTTGTAGTGACTTTAGTTGCAAATAGCTTACAACAAAAACAAAATACTTTGTTCAATTTGACAGAATAAACCAGCCAGTTTCTAAAGGTTTCTTCTCCGTTTGGCAGCCGTCGCTTGTAATTTGCTTTAGTTAAACGTCTATTCGCTACATCTTTGGGGAAAATTAAGTTAGTTTTTTGCTTTGCAGGACCTTTCCTGACAAGAGCATCCCTTAGTGAGGTGGTGAGAACAGCTGGCCAATTAGCTGGATCAGACAAATCCAATATTGCCAAAGAAGTAAATTGTTCCTCCTGCTGCAGTTCCTCTCTTTCTTCTTCTTCGTCATTTGATTCTTCTGGGTCAATAGTCTTCTCAAGGTAGACAGAGTGTGATGATGTGGAAGGTTGCTCATCATCTTGTTGTTCTGGTATTTTTCCAGTATTTGCATCATCTACATTAACAGCCTCTTGGACTGAGATGGGCTGTTTGAATTGAAACATCAAGGCTGGCCATGATGTTGAAGATTCATCGATATCGATTTGTACGGGTTCGCTTGCAACATTGGAAACTGGTTCTGATGCAGTAGTATCTTGCTTTCTCCTTTTGTGAGAAGTCAAGTACTCCTTTAAAGCTTCAGACATCCGCTTCCCAGCTTTCTCTTTTTCTGCTCGTCTTTGTCTGAACACTGCCCCTGATGATTTATTTTCTTTAAATAGTTTTGGCATTTTGAATATACTTTTTCAGCTATATAAAGAATAAGAATGATGTTTAATTTCACACACACAATTAGGAATTATAACATTATAAGGAAAAGTAAAATTTCATCCATAGCTCAACCTGCCTTCCTCACTCTGGTCATGTTCCTTGATGCAGGTTCTTTCCTTCTCTGCAGCAGCTAGAACAGGCCAGCCTTGTCCAAACTGTTCCTTCCTTTCATTGTGTTCCTCTCAGAGTATCTGCTTTGCTTCTCAACCAACTCAATAATCCCTCAAAGTTCAAACCTGCTTGTTGCAGGGCTTGACAAATTTGTTTGCGATCTAGGGGCCAGCTAAAAAAGTTGGGAGCAAGGTTTTCAAAAAAAACCCAACTATTTTTAAAGGGACACTATAGTCACCAGAACCACTACAGCTTAATATTCTGGTGTCTAAAGCCTGCCCATGCAGGCCTTTAAATGTAAACACTGCATTTTCAGAGAAAAGACAGTGTTTACATTGCTGCCTATTAACACCTCTAGTGACAGTCACTCAGATGGCCAGTAGAGGTGATTCCTTCAGTGCTGCACAGTGTGCATCTTTACGAGTATATTGTCGCAGTGCAACGTTTTGCAGCGCATTTACAATAAACTTCCAATGCTTTCTTACAAGAAATGAGAGGGGGGAGGGAGGCGGAGGTGGTAACCTAAAGACACACATATTTTGTCATACACTCACAAATTATTATTTATTTATTTTAAGCACACCCAGCCTCCCTACCTTTGGGAGAGCTGGAGTGGATTATTTCACTAGGATGCGGTGTGGCTACTCTCTATTCTCCCTGCCTTCTTTCTCTGCTCCATTGCGTGCTGTTTAGTGATGCTGGGGCCGGAGTGACGTCACATTCCAGATGCATGCATCACTAACCAGCATGGGAAGAAACAGAGCAAGAACTGCAGGAAGATTACTGCTCCATGCTCCCTCGGCCAGCCGCATCTGGTGAATGGGTTAATAAACACCCAGGCGTCATGACAAAATTCCTAGTCTAGTCCCAGCATTTGTCGAGCCCTGCACTAGTACAAGTGATGTACTATTTCCCAACATGTTTTGTGTTGTGATTACAATGCAAAATCCTTAAACATTTACAAAAATAAATGTAAAAAAAAACCAACCTACAATTACAGACATAAATATACTAAATTAAGCCATGCGCTCAAATTCTCACTTTTCCTGGGCAGTATTAATGACCATAGTACACATCCCCAATACAGACAATAAATCACTATGTACATTTAATATAATTTTAACAGGCAGATGAGCTAAAATACTCATACTAAAAAACCTCCAGTTATTTAAATGTACATAAGGATTTGGAATTGTACGCAAGTAGCTTTTTTTTTCTTTTTTCTTTTTTTTTTTATAAATTACACACACACACACATTTACTGCAATTTTCACAGTGGAATTAATAGCTTAGCTGTGTATAAAGTACATAAACATTAAATAACCTACCCACCCTGAGAATACAGCGAACAGAGTGGCAAAGAATTGGGGGATAAGGTATTAAGGTGAAAGACTGACACAGGTTGGGGACAGAGTAACTAGCGTGACAGGGTATTAGTGGCATAGAGGCTAAGAGAGGCATGGGATTACTGCCCTTTGCACGTAGTGCTGCAATGTAAAACATTGCAGTTCCAGAGAACTGCAATGTTTACATTGCAGCACTAAGTATGCCCCAGTAGCTGTCTACCAGAAAGCCACTGGGGGCGCTTGTGGAATCGAAACAGACTTTTAGTCTGTTATCTGATGCTGGACGTCCTCACGCCTTGTATGAGGACCTCCAGCGACAGATTTTTCCCCATAGGAAACCATTAATTCAATGATTTCCTATGGGGAGGTCTAATGCGCGCTCGACATTTGTTGCGCGCACAGCATTTGCTGCGTATACGCATTAGACCCAGCTAGGCGCAACGCTGAGATAAGGTAAGTAAATAAAGGGATTTAACCCTTTATTTAAAGGGGGAGGCAGAGGGATCAGTAGTGCCAGAAATACAGGTTTGTATTCCTGCTACTACAGTACTACACTATCCCTTTAAGCAGATACAGTGAAGCAAGACTAAACAATTAGGGACCAAGTGAAATGGGGCTTGTGGGACACAGTGACAAAGGAGTGAGAAATGGGATGCAGAGGGACAAATGATAATAGGAGATTTGGGGACAAAGTGACAAGGAGTAGGAGCCTGTAACCCCATGTCACTCTGACACCTTAAAGGACCACTATAGTGCCAGGAAAACATACTCGTTTTCCTGGCACTATAGTGCCCTGAGGGTGCCCCCAACCCTCAGGGACCCCCTCCCGCCTGGCTCTGGAAAGGGGTTAAAACTTACCTTTTTCCAGCGCTGGGCGGAGAGCTCTCTGCCTTCTCTTCTCCGCCCTGTCGGCTGAATGTGCACGCGCGGCAAGAGCTGCGTGCGCATTCAGCCGGTCGCATAGGAAAGCATTCATAATGCTTTCCTATGGACGCTGGCGTGCTCTCACTGTGAAAATCACAGTGAGAAGCACGCAAGCGCCTCTAGTGGCTGTCAATGAGACCGCCGCTAGAGGGAATGGGGGAAGGCTTAACCCATTGATAAACATAGCAGTTTTTCTGAAACTGCTATGTTTATTAAAAAATGGGTTAATCCTAGCTGCACCTGGCACCCAGACCACCTCATTAAGCTGAAGTGGTCTGGGTGCCTAGAGTTGGTCCTTTAATGCCCTGACAGGGGATACAGAGTATAATTCAAAAATTAAATATAATTTTTCTTTAAAAACTTACCCCATTCAAGTGCTGACAGCCAGGTCTATAGTGAGGTGGATCTGAGGAGACTGCAGTCTGCAGACACTATGGGGAGCAGTCTAGCACGCAGAAGAGGTCACTGTTCTCCTTCCAGCCAGGTAAGTCTGCTGTCCCTTCTGCAGGACTTGGACAAGATGGAGGCAGGGGGAGAGGGCGGGCAACGGAAGTCTGGCCCCCTACTCACTGTAGGATATTACACTCCGCCATACTGGAGCCCACCTGGGCCTGTCTGCTTCCCTTTCCTCCCTGTCTCATTCACCCTCGCTGCAATTCACATGGGCGCCGCCATATTGGAGCCAGCCAGCAGGGGGAGCCTGTCCCTGCCAGCATCGGACCGCAGGGGACTCTGGGGGAGGTGAAAGTCGCGCCCCTCCTGACATCATCAGGAGGGTGCGGCACATCACAGACGTCGGACCGATCGGACCGTCTGTGGAGGGAGCCAGGCAGGAGAGGTAGGCTGCGGGCGGCTGTATAAAAATCCAAATCCCTAGCCGGGCGGGCGCCTGGGCCGCCTTATGGACGCGCCGGCCCTGCTCCTGGAGTCTGTCAAACAATTCTGAGATAAGGGGAATGGGATAAGCATTTTTGATTGTAATCTTGTTCAATGCCCTATAATCAATACATGGTCGTAACTCTCCATCTTTTTTGGATACAAAAAAGAACCCCACACCTGCAGGTGAAGAAGATTTACATATGTGACCTTTTTCAGTGTGACTTTTATTAAATACTTCTTTAACCTCCCTATAATGCACAGGAATTTTGGTAGACTGAGGCGTAGGAGTAGGTAGATTATTGATACCCACTCTCCTAGTAATAGGTAACATACATTTATCTCTACATTCTTTACCCCATTCCAGTATTTTTCCCTTTAGCAAAATCAATACGAGGATTATGCTTAGCAAGCCATGGAAATCCAAGTATAATGGGGCAAGAATGGGACAATTGTCTGAAATGTGGTGATTTAATTGTGTAACACTCCTTTCGTGACAGTGATAGGCAGTGTTTCGTGGGTAATAAGAGGCTG